AAAACTTAATAAAGTTACTATTAACTTTAGTCACACAGATTGTGTGTGTGTGTGTGTGTGTGTATATGATGTTTTGTTATTGTTTTTTTTTTTATTGTTTTTGTTTTGTTGAGACATTTATTGCGTCTATTAAATTTTATTCCTCAGGAAGCTGTATTGGACAGATGGTGACAACATAAGCATGGCTAATATGGACGGTACCAACCTCACCCTGCTTTTTACTAATCAAAAAGGCCCAGTGGGTAAGTATAAATAGCTAAGATAATATTCAGAATGCTGTGTGATGAAATTACACATTTTAGAGTGGCCTTTTATTGTGGTCAGCCTAAGACACACCTGTGTAACAATCATGTTGTCTAATCAGCATCTTGATATACCACACCTGTGAGGTGGATGGATTATCGCAGCAAAGAAGTGCTCACAAACACAGATTTACACAAATTTGTGAAAGATATTTGAGAGAAAACGACTATTATTGTACATAGAAAAAGTCTTGGTTTTTAGTTCAGCTCATGAAAAATGGGAGCAGCAAGTGTTGTATTTATATTTTTGTTCATTATATATATCTTAACATGGTTTGTTTTTCTATTCAGGGTTATCAATTGACTATGAAAAGGCGCAGCTGTACTGGATCAGCTCAGGAAACAGCACCATTAATCGATGTCAGCTTGATGGATCTAAACTTGAGATCCTGGAAGCGGTTAAAGGCAAACTTACCAAAGCTTCTGCACTGGCTATTATGGGTAGGTTCAGAAAGACAATAGTTTGTGTATGCTATGCATATTTTGTTGCATTATTGTTCGTAATCACGTGGTGGTGTTTAAATTTTCTCGAGTTGACCTTACACTCGCCCATGAGTTATAGGATAACTTAGAAATAATTTCCATCACTGCAGGAGACAAACTCTGGTGGGCCGACCTGGGAACGGATCAAATGGGGACCTGCAGCAAGAAAGATGGCAGTAATTGGAAAGTTTTGCGCAACAACACTTCACCGATAATGCATATGAGGATCTATGATGAGGATGTTCAGAAAGGTAACAAATATCCGTTAGAAACAACTTTTTCAATCAAGCATGTTCAAATTTAATTAACCTTGTACAAGAGAGAGAAATAAAATTACTGTAACTTTTTTAACTGACTTCCTGATCTTTTCTTTTAGCGGGTGTTAATCTGTGCAGTAACAACAATGGTGACTGCTCACAGCTGTGTCTGCCCACCTCTTTAACAACCAGATCTTGTATGTGCACAGCTGGATACAGCCTCAAAACAGGGAAGCAGTCCTGTGAGGGTAAGCTGCTTTTTCATAGCTACTATTGTACATTTAATGTTTTGTCCTAAAAAACAAAATCTTACTGTACTTTTTCTGAGCAGGTATGGGATCCTTCCTGCTTTACTCTGTTCATGAGGGAATTAGAGGAATACCACTTGACCCAGGAGACAAATCTGATGCCTTGGTGCCAGTGTCTGGCACCTCTCTGGCCGTTGGCATTGACTTCTATGCTGGTGAGTGTCACCTAAAATTATCAGTAAACGGATGGCCTATCCGGAGTGACAATTTAAAGCTGTCACTGTCTCCTCCACAGAGAATGACACCATCTACTGGGTGGACATGGGACTGAGCACAATCAGCAGGGCGAAGAGAGATCAAACGTGGAGAGAGGATGTGGTGACCAATGGGATTGGCAGGGTGGAGGGCATAACTGTGGACTGGATTGCAGGTGTAGTCATTACACAATTTAAATCTGGTTTTATTTTATTTTTTATTTCTTAAAAATTAGATTTTCCACATACCTATTTCAGAGTCAGAGATTCTTTATTGTCATTCGCACCACAGTTACATCCAACAATAAAATGTAAAAGAAAAACAGCAATAAGATCTAAAACATCAACTAAATATACACTAAGCACTAATAGCATAAAAACTCTACATCGAACAGCAGCACGAGCACGAGTCTGTGTGAGCAGATGAGCACGCGTGAACACCTCAACATGAAACAGATCAGCAGCAACATGATGTGATTTTTATTTATTTTTATTATTTTTATTTTTATTATTTAAAGCATATCTGACTTGTATATATATTTTCTTTCACAGGAAATATTTACTGGACTGACCAGGGCTTTGATGTAATTGAAGTGGCCAGGCTCAATGGTTCATTTCGCTATGTGGTCATTTCCCAGGGTCTGGACAAACCCAGAGCTATAACTGTCCACCCAGTCAAAGGGTAAGATTAAGTCTGCCCTGTGTTACAGTGCTGTCATAAAATACTTTGAAAACTTTATATTGCTAACTTCTTTTTCACTACTCTTAAAATGTCCTGTGTGGTGCTGTCTGCAGGTATTTGTTCTGGACAGAGTGGGGTCAGTATCCCCGTATCGAACGCTCTCGGTTGGATGGCTCCCAGAGGTGGGTCATGGTCAACACAAGCATCAGCTGGCCAAATGGAATCTCCGTTGACTACAAGGTGTGCTTAAGACCACCCTAAACACATTTGTTTTGTTAGGACAGAACATTTCCAAAGTTTAGTGCAATGATGAGCCTTTGACTGTTTTTTAATATCTGATTAAAAAGGGTATAATTAACTTACCTAATGTAGTGTCTACTTAAATTAGCAGACAGCTAGTCTTTCCTGGGCTACTCTATCATATTCTTTTTTTTTCAATGGCGATATCTGAAGGCAATTCTTATTCTGTTTTGCACTGCAGGCGGGTCAGCTCTATTGGTGTGATGCTCGAACAGATAAGATTGAGCGCATCAACCTGGAAACTGGACAGAACAGGGAGCTAGTGCTGGCCAGCAACAATATGGACATGTTTGCAGTGTCTGTATTTGAGGAATACATTTATTGGAGTGATAGGTATTTTTTTTTAACTCTATGAACCTCCCAAAAAAATCACATTTTCATCTGATGTTGTTTAAAAGTTTTATTGTCTGGGTTTTTTTAGGACTCATGCTAATGGCTCAATTAAGAGAGGTAGCAAAGACAATGCTACAGATGCTGTGCAGCTCAGGACAGGTATTGGTGTTCAACTAAAAGACATCAAGGTCTTCAACAGAGACAGGCAGCAAGGTGAGAACACAAAGTGACCAGCATTAAATTAATTAAACCTTTCAATATCCACTTTAACTCTTCAATTCAGACATTAAATAAATGCTTACTTACTGAACATGTCATGATCTCTGCAGGCACAAACATATGTAAAGACAACAATGGTGGCTGTGAACAGCTGTGTCTCTATCGTGGCAATGGAGAGCGCACCTGCGCCTGTGCTCACGGCATGTTGGCAGAAGACAACCGCAGCTGTCGCGACTATGACGGATACCTGCTGTACTCAGAGCGAACCATACTGAAAAGCATCCACTTGTCTGATGAGACAAACCTCAACGCACCAATAAAACCGTTCGAAGACCCGGACCACATGAAGAACGTCATTGCCCTCAGCTTTGATTACCACGGGGGTGGAGGGAAGGGAGCCAACCGCATCTTCTTCAGTGACATTCACTTTGGCAACATCCAAAAGATCAATGATGATGGCACAGGTCGCAAAATTGTGGTAGACAGTAAGTGTTGAGTCATCAATTGAATGTCGACTGCTTGACATTCCAAAACAAAATGTTTAACCTCACAAGACCTAAGCCCTTCTTCACCAACTCTGTATATTTATGATTTAGTTGTACAACTCTAGGGCGCCACTGTTTTTTCAAACTCAGTAATTTAATATATTTTTCTACTTTCTCAGAAAACATTATGCATTTCAGCAACTCAACCACTAAAATTCAATTCAATTTATTTATATAGCATCAAGTCACAACAGAAGTCATCTCAGGGCACCGTACAGAAACATTCATATACATAAAAAGTAAGCTAATACAATTTATCTGAGGAGCAGACTGATTTGAGTTTAACTTCATCACAGACTCTCATCTTGAGCAAGCATGAAGGCAACAGTGTTTAACAGTAATTAAGGGGGCATCTTTCTTTTTTAGTGGCATATAAATCTGACTATCGTCATCATATCAAAGATGCCATGCTTCCTAAGGATTGAGCCCAAAGGAAGCTGGTAAAGGGAGAAAAGCAGGGGACCTAAAATAGAACTCTGTGGAGCCCAAAAACAATTGAAGAGTAGTGGAGGATTCAGAACCAGCTATGTTGACGCACATGGTTCTGTTTGCCAGATATGACCTAAACCAGTTCAGTGCAGTTCCACAGATACCCACTTGGTTCTGTAAACGTGATACTAAAATGTTGTGGTCCATTGTCTCAAAGGCAGCAGTTAGGTTGGGCAGGACTTGAACCACATACTTACAAATAGCTCTGGTAAAACTGCAAACTGCATACAGAACTGCTCCTGCTGAAGGCAGAACCAGCCACCACGTAACCCTGATGCAACAGACTCAACGCATAACACAACACATAGAGAAGCTTCTTGTGCATTCATAGAAATTTAAATTACTGTAGGTTGGCACTGCAAGAATACTTGCTCACAAACACACTGAATCTCTACTTGTTTTCTACATGGAAGTGTCTTTTTATTCATGTTCTCTTTGAATAATTCAAAATTATGTTGAACGTTATCCATACCATGCTTGTTCTACCACAATTCAAAACTCAGATTCTTATGACACCAAGACAAGTTAAGAAATATTCAAGTTTTGTGAGTTTATTAATCATAAATTCAGGTAAGGGTTCTGAACTGTAATAGATAAGAACCTTTGCCATATTTTCATCTTCTAATAACATCATAGAACAAGAGGGCATTCTGCTTGCCCAAAAATCGAATTCTAAAGACATTATTAAAACCTCTGTAACACACATAAGCTGTGGGATACATTTTTTTTTTTACAATTTATTGGAATGTATCGCTTGGAGTGTTTCATTATATTTTCATCATGAGAAGAAATTATAGGTACATACATACACTATATAGGCATGGTAATATCATTTGATTCAGTCCATTAAGTTGGTATTAAGCAGCAGTCTTTTCCTTCTGGTTTAAGTCAGTTCTTACTTCTTTCTGAGGTTGTGTCCAGCTCAAAGGGCTGTACTGTGTCTCTTCTTGTTACACATGGACAACCAATCAAATTGCTTTTGCACAATGTCCACTGTTCTCTTCCTAAATTTATTAAGTCCCGCCTAAACTTATGAGACATGAAGCCGTACAGCACAGGGTTTACCACTGCTACTGAGGAGGACAAGAGTCTGGCCAGAAGAGCAAAAGTGTTGTAGCCTGGTGAGTCTGCTACACTTCCTCCAATAATGGAGAACATGAGGATATAAGAGGGCAGCCAAAGCAGAGTAAAGACTAGGACCAGGAGAGCTGAAGTGTGAGTGACTTGGCGCTGATAACGTTCCAGTTGCGGGGCGTTACCTATCCGACGTGCATGTCTAAGAAAGCAATAGATTTTAGCGTACATCAGTACAATGATGCCTAATGGTAGAGCAAAGCCAAAGAAAAAAAGGGCAATGCTATAGACCAGCCGGCTGAAGTCGGACAGGAAGGCAAAGCAATAAACTGTGCTGGAAAAAGAAATTGTGCGGAAAGCAAACTGTGGTGCTGCTAACGCCGAGGCGGGTATCCAGAGCAGGGCAACTGTCAGTTTAATTCTTCTATGCATACTTGACCGGTATGTCCAGGTGGGGTGCACTACTGTAAGGTACCGTGTTACTGCTAATGCTGCCAGGGTAAACACAGAGGCAGCTGAACAGGCAACACTCAAGAAACTGATGGCTTTGCACAGGAAGTCCCCAAAAGGCCATAAGCCCAGAGTGATGGCAGAGGTATGAAAGGGCAGGCAGAGTAGCAGCAGCAGGTCTGCAGCACTCAGAGCCAGCAGCAGAGTGTCTGTACCATGAGGTGGTTGACTTTCTTTCCTCCTCCTGCCAGTAAGAATAGTCATGACCAGAGTTTGCCCCACAAGTCCAGTCACCAGAATCAGCCCATCCAGAATGGGCACCAAGGCTTTAATCAAAGCCTCATGCCTATTGTTCATATTGTCAGGGTCACTGACGTTTATTTGCTGTCTCAGAGTCTCCATCGATTCAAAGTTAAAGCCTTTTAACCTCATACACTGTCTCAGTTGAATATCCGAACAGGACACAGAATCTGGGTAATTATTCAGTTGAATCTATTTATCTACTGTGCTCTCAAAGGAAGAAAAGAACAACGCCATAATTTTTTAATTTTGCTTTTTTGTTATATTTTAGTCCTCAAAAAATGTCTTCTTCTTGAGTCATGTAATGGTCCTGCTGGTGTCCTCGTAATCTCTAAAAAAAAAAGATTATATTTTCAAGGATAAAAACATCTTTATCATTACATCTTCATTTTATTTTTTTTAAAGCTGCATCAGCATGCTTATCATCCAAGGAGAAGCTTTTTGTATGAAAACTCCGATGTCGGTGCAACAGTTCTTCTGTGGTTCCATCGATTCCTGAAACCAGGCAACAGTAGACAAATCCATTCGTGTGGACGCTATCAGATATTTCTCTTTAAAAGCAGTCAATGCTACTTGATGCAAAGTGCTCACCACGGCAGGAGGTGTCTTGTCCATTTAGAAGCTCTTCGGAGACTTGTAGCATGTAGATTCCTCCAGCAGAGCAGTTACTATAGGATTCAAACAGAAACTGTAATCCTTAAAAAGGAAAAAATGGATTACCTGGTAGTTGTAATAAAAACTGATGAAAAAAAACAAGTAATTCTCAGGTGTTCATGAACTTCTGTAGTACTCCTAGGATGATATAAAATGCTTTGGTCTGTGTGCTTATAGTCTTCACAGCAGGTTATTTGCACTGTTTGCTCAGTAACCAGGGGATGAGCAAACTTAGCTAATGGGAGGGCACGCCATGATATCTAACTTGCGTAATACTGGTCTGATCACACAATAATGTATTGATCACCACACAATCAAACTGTTTTTTGTGGCTCGTGCAAAATAGAAATGAGAAATTGAATCAAACATATTTTGTTAGTGTGACTGTTTTGTTCTCTGGCAGTCTTTGAGTTGTAACTTTGTCGGCAAGGCATTTTCAAATACCTTAAATAAATATTGTTGACAGCACCTTAACATTTACTGTACAGTATCTGAAATGTTTATTAGCTAGCAATGGTATACTTTCAGCAAATAACAAACAGGGAGTTAAGGTTTTTGTTTGCTGCAAGTGGTCATAAAGGCGGTTGGTAGTGTAACTAAATGGAGAGAGCACCACGCTTTAAGTGTAATGATCCAAGATGTTCATTCTGATATCTCTCTCATGAAACTTAACAGATAAAAATATTTTTAAATAATGTATGTTTTATGCCATCAAAGTTCATGCTCAATAATCCAGGTAGAAAAATCCATAAAAGTTAAGTCAGGTCCACTGGACGGTTTATTTTTGTTGAAACATTTCATCTTTCATCCAAAGGGCTTCATAAGTCCAAGGAGCCACAACAAACTCAGTCTTATAAATAGCACCTTCACACAGTGCGCCAACCAGTTTTGTGGTGCTAAGATGGTTTCTGGAGTTCGCCCTCTCCCTCGCCGACTCGTTTAAGGCAGCCATGGCCAAAGTGGTTCAGAATATCAAAGCACCGTCAAACTGGTTGAAGGAAGGAATTGAAATAAAGATGAGGATTTACCTTTATAAATTTTAGGATAATTTCTTCACCCTTAAAAAAGATTCAAGCTGTTTCAATTGCAAATTTTTTTTCCCCCAAATTGAAAAATCAAGACCACGAATGAAAGTAAACAAAACGTACAGTTGTGTTTTAATGCGCAGAACAAAGAATGATGCGATGACAGAATTTTAAAGGCTTTCCATAAAGAGCAGCTTTGTCACGCACTCAGAGCAGAGAAGTATCTCTTTCAGTTTTAACATTCTCGCATCTTATCATCTTACCATCTTATCACAAGCAGAACTGGTTTATTCCACTTTGGAGTAAGCTGTTGGGGGAAGAACCAGTTTTGTTGTGTGTTTCCTTGACTGATGAAGCCTTCTGGACCGAAGGCGAAACGTTTCAGTACAAAAAAAAGAAACTGTCCAGATGACCTGACTGAAAAATGTTGGATTCTCACATCTTGTTGTTTCACATTAGGTAACACAGGCAGAGACACCTAAATGGCATGTCCCAGCAGCTCCCTAATAAAGCACAGACAGAAATGAAAGCTTTGTTGAAAGAATCTGTTGAATTTACGTTCCTGAAGTTATACAATTTTTAGGTTGTGAATTTTTCAGACTTACTGTTAAAATGTCACCATAGTTCCAGCGTCCTCTCTCTTTGTGTCACAGATGTTGGATCGGTTGAGGGCCTGGCGTACCATCGAGGCTGGGATACACTCTACTGGACCAGTTACACAACGTCCACCATCACTCGCCACACTGTGGATCAGAGCCGGTCTGTGGCCTACAATCGCAACACCGTAGTCACCATGTCTGGAGAAGACCACCCCAGAGCCTTTGTGCTGGATGAGTGTCAGGAGTGAGTCAAGGATGTCAAATCTCTTTTATTTTATTTTAATTTTTTTTGTGCAGCAGATTTATTTTAGTTCAGTCAACCTTCTTTTGGAGCTCTCACCATAATAAGGCTTGTCATTTGCTTGCTCTCACCATAGCCTCATGTTCTGGACCAACTGGAATGAGCAGGCTCCCAGCATCATGAGGGCCTCCCTGAACGGAGCCAATGTGCTGGTGATAATCGGCAGTGACATTAAAACTCCAAATGGCCTGGCTATAGATCACCGTGCTGAGAAGCTCTACTTTTCTGATGCCACCCTGGACAAGATTGAACGCTGCGAATATGATGGAAGCAGCCGTTATGTAAGACAGTTCTTTAATTTGTTCATTTGTTCCCAAAGCAGGGACACACTTTGTTCTTAAACTGAGTGGATTCTCCTGCCTCAGGTCTTGCTGAAGAATGAACCTGTCCACCCGTTTGGCCTGGCTGTGTATGGAGATTACATCTTTTGGACTGACTGGGTGAGGAGGGCTGTGCTCAGGGCTGCCAAGTTCACAGGAGGAGATATGAAAGTTCTGCGTGCCGACATCCCCCAGCAGCCGATGGGCATTGTTGCGGTGGCTAATGACACCAACAACTGTAAGTGTCAAATACAAAATACTCCTGATTAATGAATGTATTTCCAACACCATAAAGCCGTTTTTGTTTTAAGATTTTAAAGAGTCAAAGTAATGCACCTTTCAAGTATCAATTTTATCTAATTTCTTTCCATATATTTGGAAGATGTGCTGTAGTAATGTGCAGAATTATCAATTTTTGCTATAATTTTTCTTCTAAATAGAGCATATATACCATTTCTGTAATGTTTGTTTTTACTTTCCCATTACAGTAGTCCCTCGTTTATCGCGGAGGATTCGTACCCTGAATCCCTGCGATAAGTGAAAAACCACAAAGTAGGAATAGTACAAGTAGTAAATAGTAGTTTATTTTAGTATTTATATATTATGGTGTTTTAAACGCTTCCCACACTCTTGCAATATTCTAAACAATGTTTCTAAACTCTAAACGCTCTAAAAGAGCACAGCATGTCATGAGATCAGCTCTCAGCCACGCCCACTTCTCTGCAGCAGAACGGAGATCGAGGGAGGAAGTTTCTCCTGCACTGTGGGCTGCACACAGGTGCAGCAAGTGCTAAATAATTTAAAAAAATCATTTTAAATAAAAACTCCATGCTGATCTTGCGGCTCATCCATCAATCGGCCAATTGTATGTCATATCCAATCTTATTTTGAAAAACCGTGATAGAGCGAGTCTGTGAAAAACGAACCGCGAAGTAGCGAGGGACTACTGTAATGCAACTTGTTCTTCTAATGAATGTAAGCTTTTGTTTTGTTATTGCATTTTGGGCAGAAGAATGTTCAAATTACTCATGAAATGACCATATTTATGTACACACACTGAAACTGAACATGAAAGTCTGACTAAACAATCACCATATTGTTTCTTCTCACTGACGTTTTATGTTCTGTTGAGCTAGCTAATAAATAAAGCTTGCCTCTGCTCAACTTTCCTGTGTAGCATTTCCTTCAGATGTTTGTTTATATGTGCATTAAGTTATTCTTGTGTGCTGCATTAGACAACACATATATAATGTTTTTGTTCATTCCTATATTAAGTTTTGTTGTAAGGAATGCAATGACAAATGTTTTACATAACAGTATTTCCTTGACTAACTCCCCTGTGTTCCTCAGGTGAGTTTTCTCCGTGCCGAACAAATAATGGAGGTTGCCAGGACCTGTGTCTGCCCACATCTGATGGACGTGTCAACTGCAGCTGCCGTGGAGACCGAAAACTTCTCGAAGACAACACCTGCTCTTGTAAGGGAGATCAAAGCCTTCTAAGCACAAAAAGCCTTCTGTTTAAAAAACTGAAGAGTTTCTGAGTGTGTGTTTCTTCCTCACCAGCACTGAATATGTCGTGTGGAAGTGTTGATGATTTTGAGTGTGGAAACGGTGACTGCATCAATTACAGCCTTACATGTGACGGGATGGCCCACTGCAAGGACAAGTCTGATGAGAAGCAGTCATATTGTGGTGAGGATTTCAGAGAACACACTAGATGTGACAGTGGTTATGACTGATATCTTCCATTGCAGATAATTTGCCACAATATAAGCATTCAGCTCATCTGTTTTATTTTTAAATGTGAACAATTGAGACATTTCAGAGATAACTTACAACACTGCACCTCAGCTAATTTGAAACCACGTTTTCTCTGCAGCCAATCGAATCTGTAAGAAGGGCTACAGGCGCTGCATTAATGGGCGCTGTATTGGCAACCAGTTCTGGTGCGATGGTACAGATGACTGTGGTGACCATTCAGATGAACTGCCCTGCAACAGTAAGTAAACTGATCTAAGCTGAGCATTTCATGGGTTTACAGAGGAAATAATATTTGACTTAAGATTTGCATAGTAATAGGTGTGTAATTTTAATACAAAACTGCAGTTATTTTCCTAATCTAAGTGCAGCATGTCTGCAGCACTCAGAGCCAGAGATAAGTTCCTAAAGTGTTTTTTTCCCCCGTTTTTCTTTAATTAAACTG